TACATTTTTGAATTGACCTTCAGACACTGGACAAGGTTCTCCAAATATTTCTGCACAGTACTGTAGCTTCAAGGCTCCTTGTTTCCAGGATGACAACCATAAAGAGCTTGCCATAGCTATTAGGGACTCCATCACATAAGATCATTTCGTACACAGTAAGTGGTAGACTGGAAGTGTTATCATCCAGCACTTTTCTCACTCATGCTAAGTAACATCATTTAGCTTTAAGCACATAAATAGCATGATTTCCAAATAAAAACCTTCTAAAGCTCTTAAAGTAGCAACTAAACACTCAGCAAATGATTATTACTGACATTCCTTCAGGTTAACAGTACGCAACAGTTCTGGTTCGTCCATTGGCTGTATTACATTTTTGAATTGACCTTCAGACACTGGATAAGGTTCTCCAAATATTTCTGCACCGTACTGTAGCAACTAGTAGCAACTAGTATCTTACACCTACCCTTTCTTCACAAAGTCACTTCTAGAGATGAAGTACAAGACTGCAAATGGCATTGGAACTTAAGGTTTTAAGCTTATTTGGATTGACAAACCTTTTCTCTTTTCCATTCAGCCACACCTTTTCTAGCATAAATTAGACTGAGTTTCTCTTGGTCCTTCAAGAAACGCCTCCGCAGTCTTAGAATTTCTGCTCGTTCTTCTATACCTAGGGAACACATGGTCACGACTACAGCTTTTTCTTTCTCAAGCAAACCTCAGATTTCAGGCAAGAGCATCACATAATAACAAACATCATCTTTGTATTTACTAGCTTACCAGCTCGTCTCCTAAGTTTCATATCCACTAACTCAATGCAAGGCCTTTCAATAAGATAGCAAATTAAAACAAATTAAGTTGTTCTTAGGAGAAGAGGTAATAAGCTTTTATATAAAAACTTTAAGCATATGGATGAGGAATAAAGGTCAAACTATTGTACTGGGAAAGGCACTAAAATTCATGAACAAATTTGCCCATGTGACAGATTTATTTTAAACTCTCACAGGCAAGTATGGCATTTGCACTATATTCCATGAAGTATAAGGCTCCCTACATAAAAGAGCTGCTAAATATATTCAAAGATTGGGCAATAATAATATAGTACTATTTTTTTTACGTTACTATTACAGAACTGTCACTGGATCAACTCCTGCTCAGGACAGTCATGGAGAAAAGCCACTTCACAGCCTATTCACTTTAGTCTATTTCCTAGGAAAGAAGAGTGAGCAAGCAAAACTATTCCGCTATAATTGGTATTTTCCTGGTAGAAGACTGGAAGGTAGACTGAACCTTCTCTTTCTGTAGTTCAGCACGGTCCATTCAAAATTGCCATGCAATACCTCTCAGGTATTGAAAAGGTCAATCCTCATATCTCTCTGCCTGAACAACTACTCTCATCCTTCCAGTCAAAATTTCAATGACAAGGTAGGCAAGGATGAAATGGGGAGGAAGTGAGGAGAAGGAGCTTAAGCCATTCCAGAAGAGTACTAATATTTTTCAGTTATCAACTGGGTGGGTGAAGGAGCATTCTCAGAAAGTAGCAGAGTAGTTCTAATGCCAGATTGCAATATGTTGCAGATCCTGTCACGAAATGTTTTGGAAAAAATATGTTTAAAGAGATTTCTTCTTTAAAGAGATAAGCAGTCAAATTTAATACAGAAGGGACAGAACTGTCTGATATTCATGCTACGATCTTCTTAGGAATGCAAAGATCACAGTCGTTGGCTTCTTATCCAGTCAGTTCTTTTGTCTAGCAACACGGTTTTGCAATTCCTAGCACAATTCTAGCTTGTTTGACACACATTATGTACCACCAGACATTCCTGGAAAATAAATCTCTCAAGTTGAGAGATTAGAATTAGAATGTCTCAAAGATAACAGGCTGCCAGCTAAATAACTGACAAAGATGGTCTATAAAAATGTAACATTTATATAGATATTGCATTGCAAGGCTTACAAACCTTTAGTTTTGCTGTCCACCTCATCTCCAGGCAAACCCAACTTTTTTTTCCCGAAATCCGGCCCCACTGGTTTAAAGGTTGCCTTTGCTGTCCACCTCATCTCCAGGCAAACCCAGCTTTTTTTTCCCGAAATCCAGCCCCACTGGTTTAAAGGTTGCTTGTTTAATTTTTTCACTCCGTTTGTTAACCAACAGCATGGATGAAGACAAGGATTCAGAGGATGAAGGAAGTGTATACTCTGCCAACGTGTCAATGCTACTTCCAGTTAGCCAATTAAAAGAACTTCTACCACCTGTAAAAGAAGATTGTAAAAAAGCTGTAACATATCCAACATATAAATCAAGTGAAAACATCTATGAAGCAGATCCTCCCCCCAAAAATATAATTTCCAGTGTTTATGAGCAGAACAGATTTCAAGCTGTTAGGTAAGAAACAAACTTCTTTTACATAAAATACATGTGAGACTAATTAAAATGTGACTGGATGTTTTTTCTCATAACCAAAAAAAAAAAAGCCCGTGAGACTAATTAAAATGTGACTGGATGTTTTTTCTCATAACCAAAAAAAAAAAAAAGCCCTTGAAAACAAAATATTAAATGCATTTACACTTTTATGTTAAAAATTTATATGCAATAGGAATGAAAAGAATGAAATCATTCCTATAGCAAACAAGAAAATTTCAGAAGACTCTGGTCTGGACTTACTGACATGCTGTGTAGGTGTGAATTCATATTGCCGTTGGGTAGCCCTCACTCGACCACTGACTGACCCAGATGCAGAAAGGGATCTTTCTTGTGATAAATTCCTGTGGATACTCTGAGAAGCTTGAGTCTCCACAAACATTGGTGTAAGCATGGTACTTCGGTAACGCCAGCTGGAATCAATTACAAAGTCCTAGGAACACAAAAAAAAATTTCATGAGAACAGTAAGAATGAGGGCTTATTGCCTTCCTTCCTTGAGACAGGATAGCAGACATTAAAGTACAGAATTTAAAACACCATCCTAGGTACAGAGGCAGAAGTTGACTATAAAGGAAACACCCAAACACACATAAGTTCCTCATAGCTCAGCAAAAAAGCTCACTAATTTGGACTGATTAGCTGAGGACTGATTTACAGCTCTTGTAGCAATATTCCTGTTTCTTCACAATTTTTCTGCAGCTTATGGTGCTTCTCTCCACCAACATCTTTTCTGGGTATTTCAGTACTGTACGTATTAGCTATACTTGGTATATATAATTATTTTAATTAAATCTTTCTTTTCTGAAAAGACAGCAAAATTATTGCCCCCACAAAATCACCAAACTTTTGATACTGTGCATAACCCATGGCTGTTGCAGCTGATAACTATGGAGTACAAAACACACTTTCAAAAATCCCCTTCACTATGTCATTCTTGTCCAAGTGGTAACTACATTAAGGAACGGAATTTGTCACATGGTTGCACACAGGATAACATATTACAATTCACCTGAAATTTGCATTCAGACAGTGGATGTTCAAATATTTTTCTGGAATAATCTGGGCTCTTGCTGGTCATTTCAAGCAGAAAATTTGTGATTAGACTTAAGTACTGTGTTTCAATCTTGGGGGAATATAAAGAATTTAACAGCGACAGCATGCGATCAAGAATGTTTGTAGGTAACCTTGTCTCATCACTCCAAAAATTCCTAACAATTAACCTGTAAAGGCAAGGAATAAAGTTATTCTTGGCTATTTGCAAACAGAAAACACAACACTATCAAAAGAATCAAGTTAAAAAAAAAAATCACAATAAGATTATAAAGCCTTCAACTACCCCTTTCATACTATGGATCTTCCACTGAATGACACCAACTTACTCATTCATCTACCATCCTCTGTAACATTCGACTGATATTAAAAGTTTACTCTGAAAAAAATATTTCTACTGAGTTGTTTTCCTCTTGAGAAGTGCTAGGGGCGATAAGCACAGAGGTCTCCTATTCTACCTTTTGCTTCAGCAAAAAATTAAAAAAATCCAACATTCTCCAACATTTAATCTATTTTTGTTTATGTATAGGGAGGGCCTTCTTGTTGTTCAAAACCTCTAGAACATTAATGCAAAATTAGGTCTAACATACTGAAACAACTTCTCCATGGCTTAGAAGTTTGTTCAAAAGCTCTGTGCTTCGCTTAAATTTGGTGTAACACTATGGGACACAATTTTATAAATTAACTTATTGGAAGAGAAGGAAATAATATTATCTCACTGTTACTCTTTTATATTAAAATACTTTAAAAACTTCTAAGGATCAAGTCTTCTGTTATAAACAAAAAGCAATTTAGCGATTTGTTACTTCAGACAGTCATCACAACACTCTTACTCACTGCAGTTCAGCATTCTCATCAATTAGACCTTGAAGCAGCATTTCTTTTGCCAGTTTGAGTATTTCCTGAGAATCACCATCTGCTTGACTTTCTGGATCACTGACAGTAGAAGGAAAATGTCTCTTAATGACTTATCTCAAAAAATCCATAGTAAAATAAGAGGATGAGGATGGTGGGAGAAAAGGAGGAACATGCCCTTCTCATAAAAAAACCTCAAAGTGGCATGACAACACTGCATTTTTTTCATAACATAAGGTCTTCATTGCCAAAAATGTTTTGTCTCTCCACCACTTAGAAAAGAAAAAAAATCAGAAAGCTAAGTAATACATGTTATGTATTTATTATAAAGGACAAACAGAAGTAATTCTGAGTTTGCAAGGTTAAAACTGAGAAAAAGGCAGAGAATTAGCTTTTCCCAATTAACACTGGAGTAAAAATTGCCTGTACATTTTCTTCACAATAATTATCCATTAAATAGTTAAGTTACCTTGGGGAAAAAGCATGTAACAGAACCCAACTAAGTTAGATGATTCAATAGCAACCCACTTGTCAAACTGAGTACATGCCTGTTCCCTACTCTAAGGGGTCAAACAGAAAGAACATCTTTATACGACCAAATTGAAGGGATTCCGATTGTGTCAAAGAGCCTTAATACACCTTTTACCTACAAGCACATTTTTTTTAGTGTACAATTCTTAATAGTTACAAATTCTGGCAACAAGAAAAAAGTGATAGCATCAGAGCTAAGACCTCTTACCCCATTATGCTGTGGTTATGCAGCATCCTAGTTTTGGGCTAAAGTTCAGGGCTAAGTCTTTAGCCACTAGTGGAAGTCATAAAATTGCCACCAAAGGCCAGAATTACTTAGGCAAACCACAGGCTCTATTCTTCTGAAAACTGGAAAAACCCCGCACTGAGGGACACGAAGTTGGAAGACAGCGTTGCAAGCACTTTCACTCTGCCTGTGACAAAACACTGAAAGACATCATCTGCAGTGAATACATACCTGTAATTATCATAAATCCACATCAGAATATCATACATGCGCTGTCGACATATTACAGAAGGGTGAGAAATGAACCCTGTCACTCCAGGAAGAAGTTCTTTAAGTTCTAGTGGTTTTAGTTTAGATAGCATCTTGTACACTATATCCAAACAAACCCTTTGCCTTTCATCATCCCTAAAAAAAAAAAAAGGAAAAAAGAGAATAGTTACATTGCTTTCCTCTTCACGGCTACACACAGAACCAGAAGATCAGTTTAGGTTTTGGCAGTAATACTTGGGTTTGCATAAAGGGCTGTAGGTAAATATTTTGAGTTCAACTTAAGAGTAATAATATAACTAAACTAATACATACTACAGAAATTCACATTCTGTGGTGTTTTACCTTAACGCTATTTAGGGTGGGTTTGTTTGTTTCTCACAGTGAGCTAACCATCTTAATACTTTATTCCATTAGCTCAAATTAGGAGAGCAGTGACCAAAAAATGAATGTGAATTAGAAACCCTTCTGAATGTAAAAATGTCATGGCCAGCACAGAAAATGTTATCAAGACATTTAGACTATTCATCCACATTTGTAACCACGTGACCACTCACCTGTGATTCATGATCTGGATAAAGTCTTTACTCTTTAAATGCAAGTGGAGATCAGGTATTTCTTCCACCCGGCACATGATTACTTCCAGACAGTAGGTTTTCATCACACCATGAAGTTTGGGTATCAAAAAGAATACCGCGTTCATAAACCTTGATATAACCAAAACCCACGAAGAAAAGCAAGTTATTTTCTATTATTCCTCTAGATCTACAATGAACATATCATGTAAATCATGACATACCTGTCAGCAAGAGGTGGAAAATTCTTAACAACTTTATTCAAGCATTGAATAAACTTATCCTGTTGGGTGTTCTGATGATGTTTTAATTGTCTTACGACACAATCATAAACTGGATCTTCAAGTACCTGAAAATGAGAAAGACAGTAAGACAAGCATAGCCATGAAACTCCTAAGCACCTTAATGACACATAGTTCTTCTGCTGTACTGTTTGATTCCAGTGCATTTTACTAGGTAAGATTCATCTGCCTCACCTTGACATTTATGGTGCTTCGTGGCTGCTGTACAGCTATGCCTGGCTGAAACACCTGGTTGCCTGCTCAAACAATACATTTATGATCCTTTGACTGGTTTGGAACCAACACCTTAATTTTGAAATACAAGTTGCTTAGTATGCTTATATAAATAGGTAGCAGCTTCTCATTTGGTATGGCAGATTTCCAAGTAATGAATGCAAAAAAAAAAAAAAAAAAAAAGACATTTTCAGTTAAAAGGTGAAAAATAATCACCAATCTTCACTTAATGTCAAAGAAATAAGCCTCGTATAGGATAAAATATTTGCACCATCTTTGCTCATTTATTCAAAATACTGCTTTATAACGGAACTTGGAAGACTGGGAAAGAGAAGAATTCAGGAATTCAGTTTATGAAATATGCTCTACAAACTGGAAAAAACAACCAGAATGCAATTAAGTGGGGAAAGAAGTAAGAATAGTAGGGCAAGAATTACCTACAAGGTCAGACTAATAATCAACCTAGCCAGTATCTTGGTATTTTTGTCTCCAATAGCAGCTGTAGGGGGATACGTAGGGGGAGCACATGAGTCTAGCTGCATTTTGTCCTCCTTTTCTCTCATACAACTCAATGTGCATCCATCATTAGATTAGGGATCTTAGAGTGTACATTGTTGTCTATAGTTTTTAGAACCTGTTCATGCCTAATTTCTCTCTGATTTCTGTGATCAGCAAGTACCATCCCCTAATTCTAGTACTGTAGGATTTGGTGAGTAACAGTTTTGCATTCACCTTATCCACTACCTAGAAAATAACTGGATTCAAAATTAAATACAATACCTTTAAATTTTACATCAAAACTTGCAAGTTATTAAACATCCTCAGATACAGATATCCAAAGGTAGTCCCAAATTTCCCCCTCAGTTTTAAATGTACTGTGCCAGCGTTGCTGGCTGGCAAAAGCTGAACAAAGCCTCAGAAAGAGACCATTCTCTTTCCATCCAAAAGAGCAGGGCAAAAACTCTGCACTTAGTCTGCTCCCAAATTCTTTTCCTCTTGAGTCAATAGCCTAAACTTTTAACTCGATCTGTTGGACAAAGACTGCTGAGTTTTAAAGATATTCATTTTTGGAGCTGAACTGAATAGTCATATAAAAGATCTACATAGAATTAAGACAGGAATGATCAAACACACAATACAGTTCACTTACATTTTCTCTCTCAGCAATGTATCGAAGAGCAAGTCCCAACACTTCTGCTGCAGCTGCATAAACTTCTTTATACTTTAATAAGCCCATGTTGCTGGTCAAAGCCTGAAAATACCTAACACAAAAGGTAGATCTGGTGTAAGACGCTACTCCAGCATCCAATTTCAAACTGAAACAAAAAACTCACCTGAGCTGCCTAGGGGAACAGTGAGATTGCTTTTAGAAGAGTCGGATACACAGCACAACGTGGATTTTCCACCTGCAGTGTCTCAAATCCCTGCTTTAGCAATTCCTGACTGCTAATTCCCATGAAACTGCAACCCTGGGGCCCACTCTAAAGAAGCTTACATCCTTCTAGATGTTTTCCAAAATAAATGTGGTCTGCAGTTTGCAGCTAGAAAAGCATTACATCTGACAGACAATAGCAAAGGGTTGATGGGACAAACAATTCCAATAAATGAGCAATCCAGCTCCCATCCTTCATGCTGACAAGTTAGACTTGCTCTCTTTTTAAGCTTTTATCAAAATAATTCGCCATAAAGCTGCATTTCTCACCTGACACGATCTACTTCACACTTTGGGTCAAAGGGAGGTAAATTGTTAGCAAGAACAATCCCTAGCAGCTGAATTCCCACTGAGTTGTCCTTTGTATCAGGGTCTCCACTAGAAAACTTTTCAAATATTAAACTGTTGGATAAAAACATAAAAGTAATTATATACATGAAAACCCAAAAATATACACACCATAAATCACTCTCTGCGTATATACAGATATATATACATGCATACAACCCCACCAAAACCAACAGAAAGTATGTATACACACATATACACTCCTACCAAAACCAGTAGAAAGGATATATTCTGAAAGAAGTAAAGAAGTATTTAACTTCAATGAAGAAATCTTTGGGGGGAGGTGGGGACGTCTGAAAAGATTACAAGCCCACACAAATTCTCTGCAACAAGTTCAGATCACAGAAGTCTTACTAAGAGCACACCAATATTCAGTGATAATACCCAAAATTTCAAATAAAACATAAGTCTTTGCAGAGATTACTCCTGCTTTTGTTGTTGCTGTTTTAATCCTCTACATGTTTTCCCTGTGTCTCCTTGTTTTGCAAATTAAGTTACAACCTTTGGAGAGTTCAGTTCTGAAGTTCTACTGTCAGCTCTAGGGATAAAAACTTTACTATTGCAGCTGAATTTACCTTTTCATCTCCTTTGATAGTGTTCACTTATATTCTTGAAATATTGATAAAAGAAAGCAACTGCCTAAATGTTTACCTGTAAGGTATGGAGAGACAGTTCTTCCAACACTCTATAACTGTCTTTATGATTTCCAGATTGTGTCTGAACACAGCTCTTTTTTGGTGAAAGGCATTCTTCATCAAGAATTCAAGCAATCTGTTAGCTAAAATCTCATCCTTAATATTCCCCTACAATGAACAGGAGCAAAAATAAACATAGTGACTCCAACATGAAAACAGATATTGTTTTATGAAAACAAGCAAATAAGCTATTTTTGAAGTTAGTATCTAAAAGAAACAGTGGACTGATGTAGAAAATTATTATAAGTGCATAATAACAAACTCACTTATTCCTTACTAAATAGTCGCAATAATAATAAAAATGAATTTGACATTTTCTTACTTTGGGAGTGGTTACACTTGTCCATGAAAGGATAGTAACTACTATTTCCACTACCATGTAATGAATCCCTTCACCTCCATTATTCCCAGAAACAACAAGCTGCAGCAATGGACCAAGCCACTGCTTTGCATAAGGTCGAAAAACCTACAGAAAACGGGAGAATCAGTGATCAAGTACAAATTATCCAACTAATAAATAACCTGTTGTTCAATAATCATTACAGGTAAGACTGCTAATCAACCTCCTATCACTCTGCTTAAGTTCTAACGCAACAACTACAAAATTTTTACAACAACTTTAAAATAAAAAGTAACCATAACTACATTCCTCACTTCTGCTTAGAAACGTTTAACCACACATTCACATAAAGGTAATTATTTCACTAGGGTCCACATAATGTGGCTCTCATGCAGAAAACCTGTTCCTAAAGGATTTGAAACAACATGCCATTCATCTACCCTTCTACTTCAGGCAGCTTTACTAAGAAAGTAGCATTAAGCGTGTATAAAGCTTCTTGAATTAATTTGGAAATTCAGCATTTTTGTATTTTGGATTTGGAATATTTCAGACAGAGACATTATACATCACCATGACTGTATGAAATAGGACCAGAATGTTTTACCCAAGAATGAGACTTAGAAAACGTTTCTTCTCAGGCAAAGACACATTATGCTACCTTAGTATCTCTCTGCAACACGAACATCATTTAGCTCAAAGGGTTTCCATGAGACTCATCCGTGACCATTAAAAAACCCATTATATTTGCTCCTACAAAGATGGCAAACATAATCAGCCATACCTCTTGCCTAGTATCAATGAATCAATTACTTACAGTTTACAAAGGACACATATTGTGGACACCCTCTACTTATAGAAGTAGAGTTTGGGAGAAAAAGTATTTACATTACATTCAAAATACTGGCAGTATCTGGAATTTTGGCCTATGAACACACTCCCTTTTATCACAGCAAATGACTCAATTTGAATCCCCCAAAAGTCCCAGCTGATGAAATATTTTACCCGACAAGAACTACCCAGTTGATATTATAATATAACCTGTTACGTTAATAGAAAAAAATATGACAAAAAATTACTCACATCCTCAGTATTAACAATAAGTTTTGCTATAAACAGGCGAATATTTAGTGGTACTGATGGGTTTCCTAATTTGCCATGCAGAAATTTCATCCAAAGAGGAAGATCTACTGGAACCGTCCCCTGAAATTTAAAAAAGGTGAGCAAAAATCAACTCACTTGGACCAAACAGGCTTACCAAGGCAAAAAGCCCCCAGCTTGAGCCACACAGTTCTCAATATATTTCAGCCAAGAAAAGCAGTAAATGAAGGAATTAAATCCTGACTCCCTTTTCTTGGTATAGTTAGTGAAAAAATGCCAACTTTTTGGTTAATACTGGCCTCCTCCACTTTGGGTGTGATCTGGTTCCTCTGCATATGTTTAATCAGAGTGGTCATAGAAACCATACATTCATGTTGGTTGAGTTCGTCCATTTCCAGTTCCATTTCATCATTTAAAACCATGTATTCTGTGGGCTCCTGAAAAAAAGTGTTACTATGATTAATACCTGTACTGTATTTTCTTTTAAATCATGATAATGGCATGAGTCATTCTGATCTTATCTGTGTTTACAGATTTGACTATACACTCACTGTATAACAGCAAATACATCAAATGTGTTGTTCAAACAGACACCTCCCAAATATATGTACCAGCTGTGCACATCTTTTACTTTCTGTACCAACAGACATCAGCTTCATGTTACTTTGACTTTACTACCTGCCAGGATAGGTGTGGCAACTGCTGGAAGCAGGAAGAGTTAGCTGAACCTCAGAGAAATTATTTCATTTCATAGCTGAAAGAATGTGTTAACATCATCCACAGGGGGAAAGCCCTATTTTTATGGATGTGTTGTTTCACACTGACTAGCAACCACAGCAGCTTTCTCTTGCTACACAGAGTAAATCACAAAAGAAAATCGTTTACAGTTAGAAATTACAACTTTACTACACAAAACAGATAGAAAGTACATTTCTGGTTACCTTCACTGCAGCTAAAACACCTCCTTGCTCCAAAACATGGAAACAGTTTATCTTTACCAATGTTAACAGTTATTTTGACAAGCTTTTTTTGTTTTATAGCAAAATCCTATCAGTATTACTGTTGATGAGACATCTCTTGACTGCAGAAGGAACACAACTTCAAGTTATATTCTGTTCTTCCAAGAGCAACAGTTAAATACAAGGTGCCACAACAGATATACAGAAATAATAGAGCGTTCAATTATTTATTCCATGCATTTGATACAACCAGGTTCGTCAAGTGCCTTCAAAGACCAAGAAAAGGGAAATGAGGAAACCACATGCCTAACAGCAAAACACAACCATCACAAAATCCTCCTGAGTGCACACAAAGTTACAAGCCATCTTTTTACAAGTCAGGCTGGACTTCACTCACATTACTCAACTTTATAAACCCAAAGTAGGGCATTGCTTTTCTCCAGCTGTAGGCAGTAGAGAGAGGGAAGAAGAAAAATGACCAACAGAACACTGCTCAAGTCCTCTCCCTCATCTTCTGGGGGAACCCATTCTCAGTCATGTAGAACAAATATAGGAGACTAGAAATTTCACAACCCCTATAAATGTATACAATTGCTAGAAAGCATAAAACTTTTCTTCCTCACAGCACGTCAGTCAGTAAATTACCTTTCTTCTGAAACGAGTGCTGCTAGCTGTAACATCTTGGGAGCTATAAGAAAAACCTTGGACTCCAGTAGAAAAATCAAACTGACTCATTTCCTCACTCAAACTGCTATCCATCATGTATGATGCAGAAGCTAAATACTTGGGTTCACCTAAATAGGAAAAAGAATAGACCATTAATCAAGGTAATTACAAGAAATAAGACTTTATTGGCCACTAACCTTGAGTGTGGGTGGGAATTGGTCATTAGATGAAGTACATTGAATGCTTTTATTTGTTCCTGCTACTGCAGAAGTCAATTAGCAAGACATCAATGAACACTGTATAAAAGGTAAGAAGGCATTTTTTTCAGTCATAAATGACTTTCATACCCTGATCGCTATTCCCTGCATCCCTGGCCTCCTTTCTAATAGCAATGTACCGCTTCTTCCTTTCCAGAGGCACCTAAACAGCAAGAAATAAAGTTTGAAAGTTATTTTTAATTTATAGTTTATTTACAATTATTTATTTACAGAGCTGCCAAAAATTATCAAAACCATTTAACATGAATGGAAATCCCATTTTGTAAATGATTATAATTAATGCTACAGAACAACAGCTAAATTACTCTTACAGCCATTCATTACCAGAGTAAGTGTGCTAAAACGTATATGAAAGTTATGTGCACTGCAGGTGTGTTCTAAATTTCAAATATGGATTTCTCTCAGAAAAATGTATTTTAAAGTATTAGAGGAGTACTCCATTTTTTATGCACTACAGAATCCTCTTTCTGTGTATGTGAGCACTGACTTGGTCTACAGTGACTACACTGTGTTAAAGCCATACACATTTTTCACTTAGCAACACTAAAGCCCAGAAATTCCACTCACCTCAATTTCTACAGGAAATGTATACTGACGCTTCAGGTCTATCAAATTTTCAAAAATCAGCAAGTTCTGCAAACCGAAGCATGTTTGGAAATACAAATTTGTAATGCTGCACACAACAACAATTGCTCTGAACATATTTTATTTATCATGGAATAATTTCATTTGAAGGGACCTTAAAGATTCTCTAGTTCCAACCCCCCTGCCATGGGCAGGGACACCCTCCACTAGACCAGGTTGCCCAAAGCCCCATCCAACCTGGCCTTGAACACTTCCAGGGATGGGGCATTCACAACTTCTCTGCGTAACCTGTTCCAGTGCCTCACCACCCTCACAGTGATGAATTTTTTCCTTATATCTAATCTAGATCTACCCTCTTTCAGTTTAAAGCCATTACCCCCTGTCCTATCACCACATGCCCTTGTAAAAAGTCCCTCTCCTACAAGCCACAAGCTTTCTTGTTTTTTTAACAAGAAAAAGGAGCCTACAACAGATCAACATTTAAGATTTCTTCTTAGAAAACAATAGATCAATGTACAATACAGAAAATACGGCATGTTTTCTCTTCTAGACCAATACTTTTAAGAAAACTTTGCTATTCAACTACTAAAGTATTCACAGCACAGACAATGTGCACTGTAAAGATAGCATCTCTTATTCAAGCATATTCCAAGCACTGGAGAACTTTAACAATAGGTTTTATTCTTATATTTTAGAAAATTGCTTGAGTGTGGAGCACAAAACAGGGTAAATGTATCACTACTTTACCCATTCCCAAACAGACGGTAAAACCTTCATCAGCAATTCAAATTGCAGGAAGGACGCAAGAAAGTCAGCTATAACTCCTTCTACTGCCTCACTGGGTAGGTTGTTAATATACCTGCATATCATTCGGGTTCAATTCTTTGATTTACTGCAATTAGGTAAAATCACTTCGTGTCTCATGCTCGGGAAGCCTTCTAACAGCAACAACAGCTTCTCACCTTTTCTGATTTTTCTGTAAAAAGAAAGCCTTGATAAAATTTACTTTCAGTGAAGACACAACTGATAACAGCAATAGCACAATTATATGCTGCACAGTGATACTGTCTCCTCTTCTCCAACAGCTGACTCTCTCCTGCCATGTTTTCTGTAAATGCATCATAGCACGACCTTAAAATACAAAAAGCCAAGAAAACACCATCAGAAGTCTTTCTTTAAGAAGCACAGGAAAGGCCCCAATCAGAGACCAGTGAATCATCAGAATTTCAAGAGATCTTTATTATTATAGCAGTATAAGCATTAAATCAGATTCATTCAAGTTCTCTGCAGGTACATTGTGCTAAAATGGAACCATTCAGCAATGACAAAGCCAACTTCCCCAACTATTTACACAGCAGTCCTTAATGTCAACAATATGATGATATGCCATTTTCAGATAAGATGGCGATATGTTTCAAAGCATGCATAAATCTCTCTCATGGTCCTTTCCCAAGAAATTCTGAATGGACAGGCATGCTAAGCTATCTTACAGATTAGACAGAGAAAACCAGTTTAGATGCAATTTTTATAAGTCTGTTGCCCATAGCCATTTATAGATCTTCTGCAACTCATAGTCAAGAAATTCTTTAAAGTCATCACAGAACATAGTATTGTAAAATAAAATTAAAACAAAACAAAAAGTGAACAGCAATTCAGGCGTATTTTTTTCAGAATATCAAACAAACTAAGTAACATGAATTAGCATATATATTCAGTCTTTATCTTTTGTGGCCCTCTGCAATAGTGATTAAACCAAATTATACTTACTGAGTGTGCTGCTGTATTATGAAATGTAAATGCAAATCCATCCCATCTTCCCATTAATCATATAAATACCTATCTATCTTACAACACAGAACCATATTCTACATAAAAGCATAAGTATACTGAAATTATGAAAACCCAAATTAAAGGCCAAGAACCACACTGAAAAGCAAATATAAAAGCACAAGCTTAACAAATAGGAAAAAAAATGGCAAAAACAGGAGGCAAAAGTTATCCTGACATAGGATTGTAGTCTACGCTAGAGATCATTCTATCAATGCAAATTCAATATTGTGTATTCTATTTAAAAATCAAGAGCTACATCACAGATTACATTTACCCTTGAACAAATCAATCTTCTGCTTTATACGGCATACTTAAAAAGTGTATCTGCCCAATCCGTAATTAAAAATTAAAAGGAAATAAAAGAAATAATAAGTCTTACTTTATTAGCGTCTTGGTAAGTTCATTTCCTTCTACACTCATGGAGCCACGGTAAGCCTGGTTAATTTTAGAGTCCTTGGAGTAAACATCCTCTTTTGAAAGACGCACATACATCACTTCTAGCAGCTTGTAATACCCCATTTTTTTGGTAACTTGTGTATCAAAAGTGTATTCATTGGACTGGAAACAAACAAGCAAAACCTCAGAAAGAGATTTCCTGGATCCTGCCCTTCGTAACTAGCTCCACAGTTACTCTACTTTCTACTAAACAGCCTTCAGCTTACTTTTGCCTTCTAGAAGAAAAGAGCTGCTGATAATAAAAGACTTGGGAAGATCCCAAGTTCCTGTGTAATACAGTTATTAAGACCATGTTGACGCGCTCTTTATCAGGTGAGCTGTCTTAACTACTATTGGACAAAATCATTATAGTGATATTGGAGTAAAATAAGCAGAATACCAAATAACGGCTCAGACTCTTGACATTTGTAAGAAAAACATACATACTTGTCACCATATGGGGTATCATTCACAAGATTCTTTATGCACCTCACTTTGGTGCCAACATTGACAAACAACAGAAACATGGTGGAGATGACTCTACATAAGTCTTGGGTTTAGCATTTTGTTTTTAATAACTATTACTAAATTTGGATCGTTTCAGCATCTTGTTTGTCCTGCTGCCTTGGAACAGCTGCATCTGCAAAACCATGGGAGTGAAGAACTACAGCAGGAGGAGAGACCTCCACTGACAACAAAATCATTGCATGTAACTATATTCTAAATTGGAGGATTGGCTGTAAATAGAGAAAGGAAGATTTGTGCTCCCAATTCATTGCTGAAGGATCTTTGCAATGATTAGAAGGTGTGTTTCTTTCTCTAGAAGTAAGGCACCTAATTTAAGAGCTTTCATTACAGAGGTTGACTACCTGTCTCCTACAATGTAGTAACAGGCTACAGTTTTATACAACTTCTATATTTCAAAGTTAGAATTGGTTTTTGCTTTTGACAGAACTTCAGGCCCCTTCTAGATATATATTGATAACATTCCAACTTCGATTTTTACACACAGTAGATATGCAAACATACATTAACTTCAAAGGAACAGTGTTTTGGGGAATAAATAAAAGTTTCTTGGTAATAATTAGACTACGTAATTGGCATAAACTTCTGCTCCAAGATACAGAAAACTACAAAGCAAATGGTTTCAATTAGTGTTTCACTCAAAGTTAAGCAAAATGTACATACCAACACCAACATTTTATTAGACATTCCCCATCCTAAAAAAAGTAATTCATACCTTTGTAAACCTGGAGTTAAGGGTATCCATAGCCTGTACTATAATCTTGCCAAAGAATTCTCTCAGTGCATCCAAGCTGCAGTGCCACAAGAGGGTCAGGAGGGAGCGATCCATAAATGCTTGACGAGTAGCATTTGAAAGGAGGACTTCACTCTGGAACATTTTGTGAACAGTGTCCAACAGTATCACTTGTTTGTCAGTGGTGCTCCTAAACAAGATGGAAATCTCAAGATGAAAACTTTGCCCAGACTCCATTTATGTCTCAAACTCCTGTGAGATTTAAAATTTTTATTGTCTGCATTCATACCCTCTTGGGTTATCATCCTGCAAGACATTCAAGATCAGGTTGAATTGCCACTTATTGTGGAGCTCTGCAAAGAAAGTCTCAGCTTCTTACTTGGCAATAGATGGTAAACTAGTCTGTATATCTTTGTTAGATTAATCCAAAAGCAATCATTAACTTTCTTAGTTCCTTTTCGCTGAACAACCTAAAAAAAAAATTTATCTGGTACATGTGAAGAATGGAGGCAAACAAGAAGGAAAAAAAGGAGGAGACATCACTGTTATCAGGTCCTTCTGTGGCCTACCAAGTGTTTGACTGCCAGATGAACTGTTGTTCTGAATAATTTTATAAAAGCCAAATTTTTTAAAAATAGGATTTGGACATAAGGTGAATTACTTTGTCCAGGAAACTACATGCTCCAAAATAGTCACTACTTAATAGCCCATCATGAATTGGAATGTTTGGTTTGGAAGAGACCAAAGATGACTTCTGTGCAACCAGAGCATGACTGTGTTCACAATTTACCACCCTGGAAACATTCAATTAAATAAATGTGCTGTTGTATTTTCAAAGGGGTTGAACAAAGTAATTCACTATCAGTTTAAGAGCTATCTACTTAAGTGATCGTGTGGTTATACAGGAATAGCAAATATAGGTATCACAAACAATTACTATCTTCAACTGAATTCTGCCAGAACAAGCTAATTTACAGCAGGATTTACAAATTTGCTCAGGCATTGGAACTGTCATCTGGAAGTTGGTGCCACTTGTTCACACTTCAGAAATACTTTGGGAATGTGAAGACAAAAGCAGAATCTGAATTAAAAATATTATATAAAACTTTATGGTGTAAATCATCACTATTACAAGGACAACATAATAGAGAAGCACATTTGCTTCACCAAAATTCAATGAGAACAAGAGCAAAATCCAACAGACTAAACTCACCTTCTCGAAATTCTTTTGAAGCTGGCTTGAAATAAGTCCTCCATGAAGTGTCTGTGGTCCCTACAGAGAACTTCGGTCATCAACTGCAACAACATCGGACTCTGAGACAATTCTAATGCATCTAAAAACTGAAAAGAAGTAATGCATAACATAAGGAGCCACACTGGATCAAATAAATTCAATCTAATTATGTAATTATTTTTCAGTACTGATCAGAAGCAGATGCACAGAAGGATATATTTATTTAATGTCTATCTGTACATTAAACTTCTGGATAAAGACATAATTCAGAAACAGAAAAGCTGATTTCCTTATGTGAACTGAGAGTGTCTCTTTAATTCCAGATCCCGTGAAACATTGTTTCTGGACACAGTTCACTTAGGCTTCCAATTACATATTTGTTAAAAATACTGACCTTCTTAGTGCAGTCTACATAATTATTGTGCTTCAAAGTTCCTTTGGGAAACTCATCAGACCTCATGGGAAAATTGAAAGCTACCAGTTCATCAAGAGCATTCTTAAGGTCATTAAGTTTTTCTCCAGTCAAATTAGTGAAGAAGGGGAGAATTATCACTGCTTGGCCCTGAAGGAAAAAACACAATGCAATTTCATCCTAAAAAGCTGAACAGGACCACAAAATAGCCACAGTGGCTGTGCTTACTGCTTCAACGGCTCAGCATACTGAAAAAGATACGTTACGTAGCTGCTCATCTTGCAGGTGCTAGTTCAGAAAACAACTTTGGTCACTGCTGAGTGAGAGTTAAAAGCTAATTAATATCTCATGGCTGACATGGCTATGAATAAGACTTCACTGGCCTTTTAAGCAAGCATCCATTGTCACACGTGTCATTGATTTAATGCACCACCTCATAGCTAAAGGAAGATCCCAAACTTTATCTACTTTGAATGCACAGGAAAGTACAAAACTCTATCTAGCTAAAGGTAGGCTGGCAGAGCAGCAACTATGCAGAGATGTTTCCTAAGTACAACGTTTTTAATCTTCTAGTCCAAACCTTATGCTCCAGAATCTTTTGTAACTTCCACTTTCAGAATGCAATACTTTATCTCCCCCTCTTGACCAAGCCACATATAGCAGTTAATACATTAGTACCAGTCTCATACTTGCAGACATGGACATTAAAATCATGGCAGATGTTTGTATTTTAACCTGCAGGAAATGCCACTCCTTGCTAAAAGCCTGATTAGCTGTCATTTCTCAAATTAACACTTTAGAGTTCTAAACAATTTGCAACTGACAGCAAATTTTTTCCTTGTCTTTCATCTGGACAAGGAAAAGGAGGGGAAAAAAAAAAAAAAAGGAGCACTGAGCACCTACCTAAAAACAAAACATGACACCTGTGATATTGCCTTCTATCTGAAGAACAAAAAGAATGATTTACACTTTTTAGGATGTTGAACAGGAGGATAAAAACCAGAAGTGGTGTCCATGTTACTGTGCAAACTAAGGCAAAATTTAAGCCCAGTAACAGGGAATTTCATGAAGGACTAACATTCTAATCTGGGGAGGGCAGGGACGCCACTGAAGTGAGCAATTTACCTTAAGATTTAAGCCTAAATTCTGATCAATGAGTAGACTGGTATAGGTATTAAAAACAGCTGTAAAGGCTTCATGATTGGTATTGAAAGAAACTGAAGAGTCTATCTGGAATGACAGAAGAAATAAAAAAAAAATTAGGATTTTTTTTTTTAAATTAGTCAAAGATATCATTGTATTAACGAACAATAAAAACCCCATGAGCTATAGAATTGTTTATTTCCAAAAATACACTGAATTAACAGAAAGCACATACGGAGTGATTCTGGTTTTAAAAGGACTATCAAAAAGAATTCTAAAAGCTCCTACACAGTACAAACAAAATCATAATGTTGGATATTTTCCAGTTCAAAAAAATATTAAGCTCCCTCTCAAAGCCAGATTTCCTACTGGTCACTTCACTGCCAGCTAATACAGCAATACAGCTCACATTCCGTGTCCTAACACATACCTTTAAAAGAATTCAAGTTTTAAGTAATTAATTATAAAAAAGAAAAAAAATCTCAATAAGTGATCTTTATGTATATTTGCGTACAGCTACTTTTACAAGTTCCTAAAAATACCCAGTAGGATAAGCAGATACATCATGTTTTCAAAATAGAGAAAAAAAGAAGGAAAAAAAAAAAAAAAAGACTGAAACCCCAGAGTAACAGAAATTAAAAGTCTTTGAAATAAAGATCTTTCTGCAGTCTGTTGATACGGGTAGAACTCCTCTATTGTGACTTTCTGGAGTCCAGCATGATCAAGAATGTTAGGAGAGGCTGCTGAGGTTTTAAATTTTAGCTCTCG